AAATAGCAACAATTAGCTCCAAAAAGTTAAAAGGGGTAATTACAGCAAGTTTTGAACAAAAGAAAAGCACACTTCACAAGTTAAAGTTCTTGTCCTTTRYATGTGCGTGAGTTGTGGCCTTGTTTCTTGCACTTTGTACACCTTACAGTTATACCAACCCTTCTAAGCTTCACTCCTGCTTCGGTCAACTCTCCAAAAGACTTCATCCTCTTCTTCTTGGGCCTACCCACTTGGGTGTGATGTGTTGGTGGAGTGAGTCTAGTTGGACATTCAAACTTAGCCCACATCTCTCTTCCAGTAATTGGAACAATTTTAAAGGCATACATGGCCTTCCACGTACGCAACAAGTATATTGGGTGAAACCATTTTTCAAAATTATCCACTTTTGCACCAGTATTTCTCATGTCCCATATGGTAGCCATGGCATGTTTGCAGGGAATGCCAGTCAATTCCCATCTTTTGCAAGAACATGTTTTCTCACTAATATCTACTATACATTGGTCCAACCAAGGACCATTCACCTCGTACTTGTAGCCCCCATTCCAAATTACGGTGTAATCGATAGCATCTTTCTTCAGTTGTTCCAACACTTTGGTTGCTGTCGGAGTAAGAAGGMCATTAGCTTTGTCAATCACCATTTGGACATTCACAATTCTCTTCATGAGGTACACTCTTATAAACTCYAAACATGTAATAATTGGCTTGTCCCTTCCATCAACTAGTTGTCGGTTGAATACTTCACAAATGTTGTTCAACACCATATCTGTGTGACTTCTTCCTAGAAATGCATAACAAATATAAATTATAGAGCATACATATAGGAGAAATTATAAAGAGCATAAATATATTAACAAAAAAAATCTAATAAAAAATGCTAACTCTTGCCTGTGAAATGAGATCTAGCCCAGTGATGTGGGGGAATCTTCTTCAACCACTCATATRATCCAATATCAARTTTTTTAACTTTGTCCATCTCCTTGTCAAATTGTGGGATGGTTGTTGCGGTTGCACACATCCATAAATGATCTTTATACAACTTCCCCTTCCAAGTATGTTTCATGTTTTCATGGATGTGTCGTAGGCAAAATCGATGTTCTGCGCAAGGGAATACCTTTGAAATTGCAGGGACTATCCCCTATGGTGCAAAACATAAAAATAGTTAGAGAGACAACCTAGAAATCATGTTATACAAAAATACTAAAATGTTATACGAACCTTTTGCCTGTCAGACATGAATGTGAAGTTAGAATTTGCGCTGAGATCCAAGTCATCTCCAAGACATTCTAGAAACCATGTCCAAGAATTTATGGTTTTTGCCTCAACAATGGCATATGCAACTGGGTATATACCATTGTTAGAATCAATCCCAACCGCAGTAAGTATTTGACCAGGAAATGGTCCTTTCATGAAGCAACCATCAAGCCCAAGAAAATCTCTCAAACCTGCTTTGAATCCCTTCTTTAAAGCACCTAAACACACATAGATCCTCTTGAATCTCMTTGTGTCAATCGTTGGATTTGTCTCACTTTCAACTTCCAACTTGACTGTAGTGCCTGTGTTTGTCCTCTGTAGTTCAAGTACGTAATCTCTTAAAACATTGTACTGCTCAGCATAGTCTCCTTGAAGCTTAGTTTGTGCCATAATCTTTGCTCTGAAGGACTTTTGGTGTGAAACCTGCTGTGAATATTTTCTCTTCATCTCTGTTTGAATGGCTTTAATAGGGATAGTTGGGTTATGAAGTATGGTTTCTGAAAGATGTTGGGCCAAGAAATTAGCTGTGTAAGCTCTCACATACCTAGTTGGAAGACATTTATGTGTCTCCACATAAGTTTTGACTAGCCATGTTTCATCATATTTACCCCTGGATACATGTAAAATCCAAGGACATGATGGTCCACTTTCCTTTACTTTTTTACCTTTACTAGACACATCAATTAATTCATTCATGTCAGGAAGGGTTCCCCACATACAACCCTTATCCTCACCTTGTCATTCTTAATTACATAAATTTGTCTTTGAGTCTCTATTGCATGGATGTCAATCAATTTTTTTACTTCCTRTTTATTTCCAAATACTTTACCAACAAAGAAAGGAGCTGAACACCTATGATCACTTCCACCACTATCTGCCTTATTCCTTCTCAGATTCTTCAATTGTTTTTTCCTATCTGTCTCTAAATCATTTTCATCTGCGTTGCTCTTGAAATCTTCCAAGTTAATTGTATTCGCATCCCCATCAACATTAGAGCTTACAATCATCATATCATTCTTCCCAACCCATTCTACATCAAGATCAGTGTTTAATCGAAAGGTGTTCATGTCTACATCAATTTCATCAACAAGATTATGAGGTTCAACCATGAAGTCACTGTCTTCATTACTTTCACTCTCTAATTTCTCGTCTTCACCACATGTATCCGCTATTTCGTAGCAGGTAGGTTCCCAAAATGGATCAAAAGAATCAGTAATCATTTCAGCATACTCTGCCTCACTCAATTCATTTGTCTCAATGCATTTCCCCACCTCAATGGCCAATTCATGCTCAATATATATATCAAATATTTTACAGACAGGAAAGTATTTCAAAAGATTTAACACATCCTCATCATTTTGTAAAGCTTTCAGACCAAGATCTAAGTTTAGATTAGGAACTCTAAAATGATAAGATGTTGGTAAATGTTTCCTATATCCAATCTCTTGCAACATTGCCTGCAACTCATGTATAGAAAACTCATCTGTATCTACTAAGTCAATAATATCAAGCTTACCATTTATATATTTCCTGTCAGKAGCTTTGGTGAACAACCCCCCATGATGTATCTTCAAGCTAAGCAATGTAGGATAAGAATCTGTTGAAAACATTGCTTTATAGTCGAGATTAGCATTTGTTTCATCTTCAAAACAATGTAGGATAATCATATTTTGACTCTCATCTTTTTTATCTTAAAAAAAAAAAATCATCACTCAAAAAACCCACTGTAAAATATATGTATGAATAATGGTTTCAAGAAAAGATTAAAAAGGAAAAACCCACTCAAAAAGAAAATC